TATATATAAAACCCCTCAAAACATTAAAGACCCAGAAGAAGAACTCTCAGACAGAGAAATAAGAATGGATAATATTTTGGTAAATGTTCATCATCTTTAGCATTTAGGAAAATACAAATAGAAACAACTTTGGGGTTTCATCTCACCCCAATCTAAAGGCAATGATAAAACACACACACACACACACACACATAAAGCTGGAGAAAATGTGGTGAATGGAAACCCTCATTCACTCCTGGTGGCTTTGTAAACTGGTGCATTCACTCTAGAATACAGTTTGGAGAATTCTCAAAAGGCTAAAAATAAACGCAGCACATGACCCGGCTATACCACTGCTTGGCACATGTTCAGAGGACACGGCATCCTACCCCACTGATATTTCCTCTGCCGTGTTTGTTACTCCTCATAATAACTACGAAACGGAAACAACCTGATCAAACTGGACTCTTTGAATATGGCTGACAATGAGGGCTGACTGAGACGCCAAGGACAATGCCACTGGGTTTTGATTCTACTGCATGGACTGTCTTTGTGGGAGCCTAGTCTGTTTTGGATGCTCACCTTCCTAGACCTGGATGGAGTGTGGAGGTCCTTGGACTTCCCACAGGGCAGGGAACCCAGATTGCTCTTTGGACTGGAGAGGAAGGGAGAGGGGGAATGGAGGGAGGGGCAGGGAAATGGGAGGAGGGCAGGAGGTGAAAATTTTTAATAAAAAATAAAATAAATAGGTCAGAGTAACACATGTGAGAAGAACCAGAATTATACCATTGCTGCTCTTAGGGGAAATATTAAATAAAGAGACCCCTCTAGAGACTGAGAAAAGAAGGGAATGGTGTTTGAATAAGATAGCATCTTATCACTAGTGACTTGCCTCAATGTATTTTAATTTCTATGACTCTTGGATTGAAAATATAAATCTTAAGAGTGAATTGACAGAATATAAAATGTCACCTAAATTTGGTTTAATTTAAAAATAAAGTCTTATTCGCAAGAAATAACTTTAATAGTTTTTCTTTTCACAGAAAAAAATGCCATGATTTACTAAAATAAAATTAAATGTTGTTCTGAAGTGGAAAAAAAAAGAAATGGAAACAACCTAAATGTTTTCTCAGCTGACAAGGGATAATGGAGATGTGGGACATAAACACTATACAATCCTATTCAACTATAAAAAACCAAGATCGTTGGGCTGGAGAGATGACTCAGAGGTTAAGAGCATTGCATGCTCTTTCAAAGGTCCTGAGTTCAATTCCCAGCAACCACATGGTGGCTCACAACCATCTGTAACAGGGTCTGGTGCCCTCTTCTGGTCTGCAGGCATATACACAGACAGAATATTGTATACATAATAAATAATAAATATTTTTTTAAAAAACGAAATCGTGACATTTGCAGGTAAATGGATGGACATAGAAAGCATTGTATTCAGTGAGGTAAATCAGATCCCAAAAGACTGCATGATCTTGCTCCTCTATTTCAAGGCTCCCAAACTTCAGATGTGAGCATATAACCCAGAATAACTGCAGAAACTACAAAGGTGAAAAGGGATTATGACAGGCTGACTTAAAGTTTCCACTACTGATATTAAAGTACCATGGCCAAAAGCAGCTTAGAGAGGAAAGGGTTTGTTTAAATTTACATCATTGAGGGAGCAGGAACTGCAGCAGAGAGTTGCCTGTTTCCACCTCCCAAGTGCTGGGATTACAAACATGTACCACCACACCCAACTAACCTTTTATTTGTAAACAAAACTTTTCATTGTCATTTCAGACTGTTTTGGGAGCAATATCCAGTAAAATAAGGTCTAGTTGATTAGAGCCACCCTCAAGGCCCCAGCCTAGAAGAGAAAACCTACCCTCAGGACTCTTACAACAATGGGATACAGCAGGAGTAAAATTAACGAAAGCAGAATGGAAGGAGTCCTGGTCAGGAGATGTGAACCTTATGTTCTGATATCCCTAAAAGTGATTATAGAAAGAACAAAGAAGCAGATGAACTAACACTTCTGTAATTACAAGGCCTATGTGTTAGGAAGAAAGGCCCATAAAGCTAGCCTCTGTGCAGGGTGTGGAGATGGGGCTGTTCTAGCTCTTCTGTCTTCGCTCACGCCGCCTGGGAAGCTTGAGAAGGCTCTTCCGAGAAAACAACATTGGGGTTTAGTCAGAGTGCAAACAGCTAGGCATGGGCTTGGAAGCATGAGTTCCCTAAGGTACCTATTTGTGCAGAGATCTTAGTCAGGAAGAAGTTGCATCTAAGATACTGGAGCATGTGAGGCTGAGAGAAGGGTCCCAGCTGACCCTCAAAGGCACACAGGACCAGGACCAGGATGCTCCTCTAGGCCATCCTGATGATGACGTTTTCTTCCCAAGAAGGTTGTTTCCATACAGACGAAACAGGAGGTTAGGGGGACGATGAAGGTGGAGATGAAGAGAAGAAGACCCACTTAAGAGACAGGACAAAGAGACAGAGCAAGCTGACAAAGGAGAGAATAAAAAGGAATGGGGAAGACGGTATCTGGTGGCTGTGGGAGTCTGCTTTACCAGTGATGACTTCTCTCTTGGGGTAGCTCATAGTTCTGAGTAACTGTTTTGTCACTGCTTCTTTCCAGCGTGAGAAATAGGGAGTGACCAAATCACGGGCACACCTTGTAATCCTATCTCCATTCTCACAAACTTGAGATCATTGAGAGTGGGTGGGAAGGCAGAGGAAGAAGCCAGTAGGCAAGGTAGGCCAGAGGGCAGGGAACCTGAAGGAAAGATTCTTGTGTGCAGATACACAGCACGTTTCCCCTGTGCTATGGCCCAATGAGTGTGCACATCTTGTCACTCTTAGCTTTTCTTCACATCAGATTGCCACAAGTCTTCAATTTGCACAAATCATGATATAGTGCAATAAAATAAAACACACCTGTACTCTCCTGAAATGCAGCCAGGGAAGACAAAGACACAAGGCAAGCTGAGAACAGACCAGGCTAAGGGGGAAGAGTCTGGGGAACACTGATACAAGAGACTTGGGGTTACAAATGCTGTGAAGAAACTTAGCCCACCCGGTCTTATCCTCTCAGTGTACCGCTGTGAGAATCATGTCTATCCTCATTTATTCTAAACGTGTGGAGAACTGGAAGGAGTCAGAACTGTAAAACAAAATAGTGCCTGCAGATAGCCACTGCCAGCCAGGTTGAAACTTTTCTCCTTTTCTCTCTCCCCTTGCATTTTTAATATCATCGGAGTTGTAACACAAATACGGCATTACGTCTCACTTTTAACATTGAGATGGCAAGTCGGTTTCAACCTCTTTCCTTAGTGTAAGGGAAGAAGGCTGAGAAAATTTGATTGCTCAGAGGTGCCTATTAAAGCTGCATTCCAACACTCAACCACGAGGGGGCGACTTTGTTAAAGACTAATTTACCAGAGCCTGCTCTTCCGGATTTGGCGGGCTCTTTGCCAAAAGCCCAGAGCTGTTTTCCTCAGGCAGTGCAAAGAGAAAAGTGCAGAAGTCCCAGCCTACGGTTGTGTAAACCTCTCGCGCCATGCGGTACCTAACGTGCCTGCTGTTTTGGGTGTTTCCGTGGGTCTGGGTACAATCTGAAGGTGAGTAGAAGTGCGCACAGACGCGTCTGGAGAAGAAGGAAGAGAGTGCTGGGCTAGCAGTGCTGTGGTCCTGGGTGGGTGGAGGTGGACCTTGGCGGGCTTGAAGCACACTGATGGGAAGAAAGTATGCTGATCTGGCTCAGAGCTAAATGCAGTTCTGAACCCTACCCTCCCTTCACAAGCCCAGCTAAGGCTGTTTTCTAACAACCTGCCTGCCAACTTGGTTGCTTACTGTGCTTATTTGGTTATCATTGTTTTCAGCCCAGCAAAAGAATTTCCCCTTCCGCTGCCTGCAGATCTCTTCCTTCCCAAACAGTAGTTGCTCAAGCACAGATGGCTTGGCCTGGCTGGGGGATCTGCAAACGCACCGGTGGAGCAATGCCTCAGACACCATTGACTTCGTGAAGCCCTGGTCCCCGGGCAAATTCAGTGACCAACAGTGGAAGAACTTGCAGCGTATATTTCAAATTTATCGATTAAGCTTTACCAGGGACATACGGGAATTTGTCAAAATGGTGCCTAATATACACTGTGAGTGGAGGGATGGAGCCCTGAAAAGGTACCTAGTGGGTGAGACAGAACCCCAAACCCCTAACTGGATAACTTGATGAGATTCTCTTTTTTCTCCACCCTTAAGATTTTCACTTCTGTCTAGAGAGATCCTTGTCTCTTCTGAAAATAATCCCTGTCTCTGCTCCAGGATACCGTAATCATTTCCCTCAACTGGGACATAACTGTTATCTCCATGCCAATTTCTTCGCTCTTCCAAACTTCTTAACCATTCTTAGATCTCTACATGCTCCCCTTTACAGATCCTGTTGAGATCCAGTTGTCTGCTGGGTGTGACGTGTACTCTGAGAACGTTTCGGAAAGCTTTTTCTATGCAGCATATCAAGGGGAATATATCCTGAGTTTTCATGGAACTTCCTTTCAGAAGGCCCCAGATGCCCCACCTTGGACAGCGTTTGTCATTGAAGTGCTCAACGGTGATCGTGGGACATTGGAAACGCTGCAATGGCTTCTGTACGACCTCTGCCCCCAGTTTGTCCATGGCCTCCTGGAGGCAGGGAAGTCAGAGCTAGAGAAGCAAGGTCAGCCTGCTAGCCTCACCCCAGCTCCCCCTATGTTTTCCCATCACTGCAAGCTTTAGAGAAAGGGCAAGGCCTAGAAGGAGGTGAATAAGACATGTGGCGTTTATTCTTTTCACTGGCACTCACTCTTATTGAGTTAAAAAAAAACACTGGAGATTAGAAATGAGCCAGGTGGTCTATGAAACATGCTATATCAGCTGAACTCAGGGTGTTCTAGGGTACAGAGCACTACTGTTTCTGGAACACTTGGTTCAGGGAAAGGGTAGGAGTATCAGGGATGGTTTCCCTAGTCACAGTGATACAAATGGATTTAACCTAATAGGCAACATAATCTCCAGAAGTGGACCTGTGGAAAGCATGAACTTGATAGGATTTCCTGAGCCTCTAATATAAATGTTCTTGCTTTAAAAATATTTATATTCTCTTTCTGGGTATAGAGAAGCCTGTGGTCTCGTTGTCCAGTGGCCTCAGTCCTAAGCATGGTCATCTACAGTTGGTGTGTCATGTCTCTGGATTCTACCCAAAGCCTGTGTGGGTGATGTGGATAAAGGATGAGCAGGAGCAAAATAGTACTCAGAGGAGTGACTACCTGCCCAATGCTGATGAGACATGGTATCTCCGAGCAACCCTGGATGTGGAGGCTGGAAAGGAGGCTGGCCTGGCCTGCTGGGTGAAACACAGCAGTCTACGAGGACAGGATATCATCCGCTATTGGGGTAAGAAAAAACCTGTAGCCTAGGTTGAGAGCAAGTAGAGGTACCATTCAAGCATGGAGTAAGAACTGAACAACCTGAGTTTCAGGTATGAAACCCATAGCTATTATAGGAGAGAGAGAAGGAGGGAATTCTAGATACAGAAATCAATCCCAGTAAATTTGAGGTAAGATGTTCTATATGTAAGAAGAAAGTAGACCCAGAATCTCAGAAGATCAAAGGGCAAATAAAGAATTTCAGCCAGAAACATTCCCCAGGATAGAAGATCCAGGGCCCTAGGCATAGCTGTAGGTTATTGAATGCCTCCTGTGTGAGCACTGACCACTCTGTTACCAACATATCATTTCATCACTTAGCTTTGAAGCAAATACTTTTCTGACTTTATAGATAAAGAGGTCAGTGCTAGGATAAGGAAACCACCGAAAGTCATTCATGAAATTCAAGAGCTGTGGGTAGACAGATTCACATCTGTCTCAATAGCATACAGTCAGATCCTGACAATAGATGGTCAGTCTAAACTCACGAAAACTAAAAGGATAGAGTTTAAATAAAGAAAAAACAATGGCATGGCTTCCTCACATGTGCTCAGAATAGGGAACTTGAAATAGGTCTGGGTTCTTCGTTTAGTGATACCTTGTATTCTTCCAGAGCAGATGGCAGAAATTTATCCACGGGTTTGATCGTCGGTCTAGTATTACTAGCAGTACTAATATGTGCTATAATCTATTATGTGTTCTACACCAAGAAGCGCTGGTAAGTCTCCTCTTTCATGTGTTCCTTTCCTCAACATCTCTGCTTTGTTACCTCCTTTTCTTTCCTAATGGCCTCTCTTTTCTCTCAGCTCCTATCAAGACGTCCTGTAGGTCTTCCTTACACCTGCCTTTCCTGAGACTCAGACCATCCAGCTTCTCGGACTTCAGTCCTGGTTGCTGAGGAACCGAGGAGAATAAAAGAGCCTTGAAGAAAGTGAAGAGCAACCCGCGCACCTTTCAACATGTACTTTAAAAATTAATTTCTTTTTCATTGTGTTACAAGTTTATAAAAGCCCAGGTGGTTTGGAACAAACACAATTGCAAATACACATACCTGCCAAGAACGAGCTGTGGGCAGTATTTTATGGGATTTGCACTGAACTGGAAAGCACAGATCCTGCCCAAACCAATGGTTCCAAGTTTGTTGAAAAGTGTAAAGTCCAATGCCAACATGGCTGAACTCTGCAGGTTTCAAGAAACCTAGACGTACTTATTTGAGAGGAGAGGCGACATACAGATTTTAAAGTAAACTCAAATTTTGCAAATATCAGCACTGTTTGATATCTTAGATCCACACGTGCTGGATGTACACCTAATGACAACGCAAGGGCTTCCAGTTGTGGCTTTTTTAAAGAAAATATTTGTCCTAAATGTCATAATGACAATCTTAGGACAGAGCCTCTATGGTAAACATGCATTTATGACTGACAGGTGTATTCTCTTTAAAACAAAATTTATGAGGTCTCCTGGGGTTTTACTTGGAATCACTGTATTTTAAAAAGAAGTCATAGTATATACCTTCTTACCTTAAGATATTTCCCTCAAACACTGCTATAATTTGCATTTGAAATGTACCCCAACATCCCATTTAGTGAAGGTCAAGTTACAAGCCCATGGCACTATCTGGAATTGCATTAGCAGGTGAGTAGAAAAGAGTTGACGTAATGAGTTCATACAGTCATAGTGGGACACAATGTCTCTTTTGCAGTAATGTAATTCATAGATTTAGAAGGGAACTCAAGGCTTTTTTTCTTTTCTTTTTTTCCTGTCTGAGAAGGAAACAGTAGGGCAGTCTTTGCTTTATGTCTAAAAGCCACTTGTGAGTACATCTTATCTTTGCTTTTCTTGGTCTGTGTTACCACACTCAATATGTTTGCTTGATCCATCCATTTGCCCACAAATTTCAAGATGTCATTATTTTTTTCCAATGTGTAGTACTCCATTGTGTAAATGTACCACATCTTCTTTATTCATTCTTCAGTTGACGGGCATCTAGGTTATTTCCAGGTTCTAGCTATGACAAATAACACTGCTATGAACATAGTTTAGCACATGCCCTGTGGTATGATAAAACATCCTTTGGGTATATACCCAAAAGTGATATTGCTGATCTTGAGGTAGGTTGTTTTCTAATTTTCTGGGAAACATCATACTGATTTCCAAAGCAGCTGTACAAGTTTGCACTCCCACCAGCAATGCAGGAGTGCTCCCTTTACCCCACAGCCTCTCCAGCATAAGCTGTCATCAGTGTTTATAATCTTGGACATTCTTACAGGTGTAAAATGGAATCTCAACGTTGTTTTCATTTGCATTTCTCTTATGGCTAAGGACGTTGAGCATTCCCTTAAGTATCTTTCAGCCATTTTAGATTCCTCTGTTGAGAGTTCTCTGTTTAGACCTGTACCCCATTTTTTATTGAATTATTTGTTCTTTTGAAGTCAACTTTCTTGAGTTCATTGTATATTTTGGTGATCAGTCCTCAATCCGATATGGGGTTGGTGAAGATCTTTTCGTATGCTATAGGCTGCTGTTTTGTCCTGTTGACTGTGTCCTTTGCTTTGCAAAAGTTTCTCAATTTCAGGAGGTCCCATTTATTAATTGTTGCTCTCAGGGTCAGTACTTCTGCAGTTATATTTAGGAAGGGGTCTCCCGTGCCAATGCATTGAAGTGTACTTCCCACTTTCTCTTCTGTGAGGTTCAGTGTGATTGGTTTTAGGTAGAGGTCTTTGATCCATTTGGGCTTGAGATTTGTGCATGATGATAGATATGAATCTATTTTCATTTTTCTACATGTTGATATCTAGTTATGCTAGCACCATTTGCTAAATATGCTTTTTTTCCCATTTTATGTTTTTTGCTTCTTTGTCAAAAATCAGGTATTTGTAGGTGTTTAGATTGATATCCGGTCTTCGATTCAGTTCCATCGGTCCTACTGTTGGTTTTTATGTCAATACCAGGCTGTTTTCAGTACTGTAGCTCTGTAGTAGAGTTTGAAGTCAGAGATTGTGATGCCTCCAGAAGTTCCTTTATTGTATAGAATTGTTTTTGCTATCTTGGATGTTTTTGATTTTCCATAAGAAGTTGAGTATTGTTCTTTCAAGGTCTGTGAAGATTTTGCTGGGATTTTAATGGACTTTGCATTAAATTTGTAGATTGCTTTAGGTAAGATTGCCATTTACTGTGTTAATTTTACCTACCCAAGAGCAGGGGGGATCTTTCCATTTTCTGGTGTCTTCTTCAATTTCTTTCTTCACAGACTTAAAGTTCGAGTCTTACAGGTTTTTTACTTGTTTGGTTAGAGTTACACCAAGATATTTTTTGTTATTTGTGGCTATTGTGAAAGGCGATGTTTCTCTAGTTGCTTTCTCAGTCCATTTATCATCTGTATAAGGAGGGCCACTGATTCATTTTTGAGTTAATCTTGTATCCTGCTACATTACTGAAGGTATTTATGAGTTGTAAAAGTTTCTTGGTGGAATTTTTGGGGTCACTTTTGTAAACTGTCATATCATTAGCAAATAGTGAGGGTTTGATTTCTTCTTTTCCGATTTGTATCCCCTTGATTTCCTCTTTTCCCTATTGTTCTGGCTAGAACCTCAAGTACTATGCTGAATAGATTTGGAGATAGTGGACAACCTTGTCTTGTTCCTGATTTCAGTGGGATTGCTTTGAGTTTTTCTTCATATAGTTTGATGTTGGCTGTTGACTAGCTGTATATTATTATGTTTAGGTACGCTCCTTGTATCCCTGCTCTCTCCAAGACCTTCATCATGAAGTGATGTTGTATTTTGTCAAAAGCTTTTTCAACATCTAATGAGGTGTTCGTGCACTTTCTTTTTCAGTTTGTTTACATAGTAGATTACCTTGACATATTTTCATATATTGAACTATCTCTGCATCTCTGGGATGGAGCCTAATGGGTCATGGTGGTTGATTTTTCTGATGTGTCTTGGATTTGGTTTGTCAGCATTTTTTTGGATATTTTTGCATCAATGTTCATTAATGAGATTGATCTGTAATTTTCTTTCTTAGTAATGTCTTTGTGTGGTTTGGGTATCTGGGTAATTGCAGCCTCATGAAAAGAGTTTGGCAATGTTCCTTCTATTTCAATTTTGTGGCACAATTTGAGGAGTATTGGTATTAGCTCTTCTTTGAAAATCTTGTAGAAGATTTCTGGTCCTGGGCTTTTTTTGGTTGGGAGACTTTTGATGACTGTTTCTATTTCTTCAGTAGTTATATTTGTTTAATTTGCTTATCTGGTCTTGATTTAATTTTGGTAAATAATATTTATTCAGAAAGTTGTCCATTTCCTTTAAGTTTTCCAATTTTGTGGAGTACAGGTTTTCGAAATATGACCTGATGATTCTCTGTATTTCCTCCACATCTATAGTTATGTCCCCTTTTCATTTCTGATTTTGTTAATTTGGATATTCTCTCTCTGCCTTTTGGTTAGTTTGCATAAAGTTTGTCTATTTTGTTGATTTTTCTCAAAGAACTAACTCTTGGTCTCATTGATTCTTTGTATTGTTTTCTTTATTTCTATTTTGTTGAATTTTAGAAAGTCTTTAATTTCTTCCTTGACCCATTGATTGCTCAGGTGAGCATTGTTTAATTTCCACGTGTTTGTGGGCTTTCTGAAATTAGTTTTGCTGTTGAATTCTAATTTTAAGCCATAGTGATCTGATAAGATTCATAGAGTTTTTCCAAATTTTTATTGTATCTGTTGAGGATTTGCTTTGTTGCCGAGCATGTGGTAATTTTTGAGGTTTCTTGAGGTGCCAAGAAGAAGCTATATTCTTTTATGTTTGGATGGAATGGTCTACAGATATCTGTTAATTCTATTTGAGTTATAACATCTTTTATTTCTCTTATTTCTCTGTTAAGTTTCTGTCTGGCAGACGTGTTCAGTGGTGAGAGTGGGATGTTGAAATCCCCCACTATAGGTGTGTGAAGTTTAATATGTGATTTAAGCTTTAGTAGCATGTCTTTTACATACGAGGGTGCCCTTGCCTTTGAGGCATAGATGTTCAGTACTGAGATTTCCTCTTAAAGTACTTTTCCTAATATGAAATGTCCTTCTTTTTCTCTTTTGATTGATTTTAGTTTGAAGTCTCTTTTGTTAGATAATAGGAGAGCTATACCAGATTGTTTCTTAGGTCCATTTGATTGGAATTTGTTTTCCCAACCCTTTACTCTGAGGTGATGTCTGTCTTTAATGTTCAGGTGTGTTTCTTGTATGCAGTAGAAGGATGGAGTCTTTTTGTTTTTCAGCAGTTAAGAGCACTTGTTGCTTTTTCTTGTTTTTTGTTTTTTATTGATTTTTACTGAGCTCATCATTTTTCCCTGCTCCCCTCCCTGCCTCTCCCCTCCCTGCCTCTCCCCTCCCTGCCTCTCCCGTCCCTGCCTCTCCCCTCCCGTCTTCAATCCTCCCCTAAGGTCCCCATGCTCCCAATTTACTCAGGAGACCTTGTCTTTTTCTACTTCCCATGTAGATTAGATCTATGTATGTCTCTCTTAGTGTCCTCATTGTTGTCTAATTTCTCTGAGATTGTGGTTTGTAGGCTGGTTTTCTTTGCTTTATGTTTAAAAGCTACCTGTGAATGCATACGTGTGATAATTGTCTTTCTGTGTCTGGGTTACATCACTCAAAATGACGTTTTCTAGCTCCATCCATTTTCCTTCAAAATTCAAAATGTTGTTATTTTTTCTGCTGTGTAGTACTCCCTTGTGTAAACGTACCACATTTTCCCTATCCATTCTTTGGTTGAGGGGCATTTAGGTTGTTTCCAGGTTTTGGCTATGACAAACAAGCTGCTATGAACATAGTTAAGCACATGTCCTTGTGGCACAATTGAGTATTCTTTGGATATATGCCCAAAAATGGTATTACTGGGTCTTGAGGAAGGTAGTTTCCTAATTTTCTGAGAAATCGCCACACTGACATCCAAAGGGACTGTACCAGCTTGCATTCCCACCAGCAATGCAGAAGTGTTTCCTTTACCCCACAACCTCTCCAGCATAAGTTGTCATTTTTTTTTTGATCTTGGCCATTCTTACAGGTGTAAGATGGAATCTCAGAGTTGTTTTGATTTGCATTTCTCTGATGACTAAGGATGTTGAACATTTCCTTAAGTGTCTTTCAGCCGTTTTAGATTCCTCTGTTGAGAGTTCTTTGTTTAACTCTGTACTCCATGCATATGTTAGTTTTATAAAAACATAATATATTTATGAAAACATAATATGTTAGGAATTTCCACTAGTGGTGAT